AAAGGACCAATTGAATTATATAAATCTGCTACAGAAGACTTCTTTAAAGTGTTCAAAAGCAAAGATGTCACTTTGAGGACTAAGGTGTGTCTGATCCAAGCCACTGTATTTTCAGTAACAAAGACCAGAGAAAAATGGATGCCTTAGAATACTGGCTTCAGCCAAGGATATCGAATGCACCAGAAACTGCTAGAAGAACTAGAAATCTGCCCTGAAAGATGTACAGCCAGAATTCTTCGTAGAAGTTGGGATGGCAGTACTTTTTCTCATGTACTTTGGGCACATTATCAGAACGAACCCATCCTTGAATAAGGATGTCATGCTTGGTAAAGTAGAGGGTCCGCTAAAACGATGAAAACCCTCAATCCAAGATGGTTTGACACAGTAGTTGCAAAAACGAGCTCAAATCTAGCAGTGATCATGATGATGGAATAAGACTGGGCTGTATTTCATTCTACTGAAGAAGCATGATCAATGGGCCTTTATCCATGGTGCTGCTGGATATGTTTGGAGTTGATAACAAATAGTTTTACCACCTACAAACCTTAAAAATGAATCAGAGATATAAATAAAAGCATACAATTTCTAGAAGAAAAACAGGATACAATTTTTGCTATATTGAATCATGTAGAGATTTCTTAAATATAACACCAAAATCTATTAAAAAGGAGCTAATAGGTTGCATTTCATCAAAATGAAGAACTGCCCTTCTTTGTAAAGAGAAGGGGAAAGAGGCCACAGATTAAGATTAAATATTTGTAAACCACATATCTGATGAAAGACTTAAATACAGAATGCATAAGAAACTCTCAAAAGTCCACAGTATGAAAACAAACACCCAACAAGAAATAGGCCAAAGACTTGAGCACACACTTCACCAAAGAATATACATAGATGACAAGTACATGAAAAGATGTCCAACACTATTAACCATTACAGAGATGGAAATGAAGTAATAATGACCTGCTATTTCTTTAAAAAGTATACATACCTGTACCCTTCTATTCCAAGATATTTACCCAAGAGTAATACTTGTACATGAACACTAACCAAAGCTTTAATGTAATAATAAAAACCCAGAAACAATCAAGTGCTCATCAACAAGGAATGAATAAATTATGTACATCCATACAATGAAATACTACTCAGCACTATAAAGCATGAACTTTTTAAATGATTGCATAATTACTTTTATTTTGTTTTTTAATC